TTGTTTTTTTTGGAAATAGGTTACAGGGCTTTCTTCTGAGGTGCCCCTGGGTCGGCTTGAGCTGCCAACCTTTCAATTAGCAGCCAAGAGCTTAACCGTTTGTGCCACACAGGCACTCTGGAAGAGGTAAGTGAGGCTGAGAAATCTAAACGGTCAGGACTTTGTACAAAACAGTCTTCTTCTCCAGATGGACCAAAGAATTTACTTGAATCTTGGCAACTGTAGTCTTCAAGAAATCCCCACTGCTCTTAAGAGAATAGAATGTTGTGTGAAAGCTGATACAAGGCAAGCATTCTGCGTCTTTTAGTCCTGCTTCCTCAGCAGTGCATATGAAACAAACATCCTGGTAGCAAAGCCTTTGGGGGTGGTGGGCAGAGGGGTTGCTCCAAAGGTGCCAACGACTTTCGCCCTTTCCTGGTCTCAGAGCCTTTGGCAAGCCAGGCTACAGGTGTGGTTGACCTTAGGTTCAAGACCACAGAAAGCTTAGACCAAGAAGGTCAAGTAGGAGGCCAGGACAACATCAAATAACGCTGACACTTAGCCCAAACCAAAAACCAAACCTGTTGCCATAGAGTTGATTCTGGCTCATAGTGACCCTGTAGACCCTATGAGACAGAGTAGAACTGCCCTATAGGGTTTCCAAGGAGGGGCTGGTGGGTTCAAACTGCCAACCTTTTGATTAGTAGCCAAGCTCTTAACCACTGCACCACCAGGGTCCCAATATCTAGCCCAGGCTCTATAAAACAAAGTGTGGTGCAATGAATTCCTTAATATGGCCCTTCTAGCCATAGTCTTTGTGATGGAGATATAATTATCAACTTAAATTAGTAGAAACAAACGCACAGTTTCAGTTGTTTATTTTCTAATTACCTGGGTACTACCAAAATTTATCCATGACTTCTTGACCATGGCTTATACCTTTATCATACAAATATGATCGAAAGTAACACTTTTGGACTATTGAATGAGGGTGAATAAGGCCAAAATTCACTTCTGGAAATGTCATGAGACATATGCAGTATATGCATGAGTGTGCTATGCCAGAACTTTTTACATAATTTCATAATTTCCATGCCTTATATGTGTGTACATGCTATTTATGTGCACATGTTATTTGCAAAAATACAGTATTTACTGCTGAGTGTTGTTTATATACATATATGATGTTATGGGTAGTTATGGTCATTATATTTTATTTTACTACTCATTTGAAGTCTTTGGACTTTATTTTTATACCCAAAGGGTTCATTGTCTTCAGAAAGTTTGAGAAAAAATTTTTTGTGTCAGCCAAAGACTTGTTGCTGTAGAAGTCAGAGATTGGATGTCAGCCTTGGCCACACAAAGCCTGCCCTTGAACTTCCTGCCTCACCCCAGCCTCTTGGCGCCTCCTGCATGTCTTCCTCTTTAAAAGAGAGAACAGAGTGGGTTATTGCAAAGGAAGGGTTAAAGAAGCCAGCTCCGTTTGAACAACTACATGCATCATATTGGAGACAGCACCTAGAGCCAGTAGACAGAGAGAGAGCTGTAACACAGGAGATGGCGAGAGATGGCGAGAAGCAACAGCAGAGAAATGGCGCAGCAGAGGCAGCAGAACCAGGAGACTGGCAGGAGAGAGCATGGTGGGATTCCTGGCCCATGGAGCAAGAAAGCTGAGCATCTTGGCAGGAGGCTTGCTGGCAGAGTAGGGCGCTTCTGGTCACTTGGCAGAGCTAGGCTCGCCAACCCACGAGAAAGAGACCTGAGTGACTTCAGGCTGAGGCTTACTGGAGGAGTGGGGCGCCTCTGGGCACTTATTGTTGGAGCTAAAGAGCTTTGTAACCTTGCCCAAGCAGAGCAGAGGCTGGGCTGAGGGGCCAAGGGGCCGAGGGCCAGTGACAGACCTGCCTGTGGGTATGACTGAAAAGATGCTGCCCTCATCGATGAACTGTATCCTGAATTGTAACCCGTTACTTCCCTAATAAACCCCATAACTCTAGGAATGGTTTATGAGTTCTATGTGGCCATTGCAATGAATTATCAAACCCAGCAAAGCAGTAGAGAGTGCTGTGGGAGGGACGGCTGGTGTCAGAATTGGCAAAAAGTTTGGAGGGAGGAGGTGTGTCTGACCTCCGCCTCATAGGAATCAGCCTTGGGCTGATGCTGATGGTGATTGTCTCTCTACCTCATGAAGTTAGAGGAGGTCAGATGCTGCCACCACGCCATTTTTACAGTTGGCCTCTGCCATGCTTGGGCAAGTGTTACAAGGCTCTTTAGTTCCACCAATAAGTGCCCAGAGGCGCCCTACTCTGCCAGTAAGCCTAGACCTGAAGGTGCTCAGCTCTCTAGCTTCCTGGTTTGGTGAGCCTAGCTCTACCAAGTGCCCAGAGGCACCCTGTACTGCAAGCAAGCCTCCTGCACAAAGGTGCTCAGCTTTCTCGCTCAGTGGGCTGGGAAGCCAACTACTCTGCCTCCTGGTTCTGTTGCCTCAGCTGCTGCTGTTTCTCTGCTGCTGCTTCTCACTGTCTCTGGTGTTACAGCTCTTTTTCTCTGTCCCTTGGGTCTAGGAGGTTCTCAGCACAGGGATCTTGGTTCCAAAGGACGTGCTTCACTCCCAGCTCAGTAAACACCAGATTGTTTTTAAAAGATAATTTCTTCTCTACTCACTCTTGCTGCAATTTCCCTAGCAGCCTTGAGAGATGAAATTATTATACAAAAAAAAAAAAAAAAGGAAACACTAATTATTTTAATGCTGTTTGAGACCTGAGCCCCATATTCAATTTACCAGTTCATGGAGTTCTTGAAAAGATGTGAAATATTTTGATGATTATTATGCTTTATATTAAGACATTGTGGCTTCACTTCTGATTTATTTTTAAGCGTACAGTCTCCCAGTTGGGTTTATAACTACTTGAACCCCAAATGAGGCAGATTAACCTCACATCTTAAATTTCTCAGAATAGTCTTAATTTCTAACATTTAATCCATTTTATTAAATATGCTTTTACTTGTCAGACTACATATGTTCTAATCACTTTAGCAGTAATATAATAATATCTTCTTGGTATGCCTCTGGCTTCTGTCTTTGGCTGTAGCTTGTTTAATTCTCAGCGATGGTTTGGAGGCTTACAGAATTTATATAAGAAAGAAATGATACACAAGAAACATCCGGCCCCCAAGTATCTTTTGTTTGGCCCACATGGTCTTTTTTGAATTATTATTTGCAAACACTTAAAGTTCAGAAATTTTCACATAAAAATCCAGATTTCTGGCTTCTACTAAAAAGCTTAGAAGACCTAGCATCACTGGGCTCACACTCTTTATTATATCAGTTACTATTTATCATTATGCTCGCGTGGTTATTCTTCTTACTATGGAGGAAAAAAGGGAAAATTTAGTTCCTCTGTTATCCAGTCCACTGGATAGTTTTACTGACTGTCCCCAGTGGTGATTTAAGTGTGTGACCCAGTTCTGAGATGTTCCAGGAGGTATAGTAACTGTACAAATCGATGGAATCAGACTTGCTGGCTTTGGATGCAGACTCCCACAACTGAGCCTGTCTATGCCTCAGTTTCCTCCTCTGTAAAATGGGGGTGTCAGGTAAAATCACCACAAAGTTATAGTAAAGCAAAAAGAATAGTTTTATTCGGCATATTTTCAAAGAGGCAAAGTGGGAAATGGACAAGCATTCTGCCAAAGCCATGTCTGCCCAAGTCCAAGGAATATTATAGAATCATCAGTTATATATTAACATTACAAGCGGGTAAAATCACGGAAAGCTTCACATTTTCACGTATTGGCTAAAAGCTGATAAATCATCATGATTCTACATTTTAAATTGTTTTTCTTAATAATCATTGGTACAGGTTTCAGTAATGACAGTCAGGAGGGTTTTCATTGGTCCAATAAATCTTACTATTTACTAAACCCTAATAAAGAGATAAGAGCAGAAAATATGTGGGTCTTCTGTGCTCTGTTTGATTTGTTCGTGTGAAAGGTTCCCTAAAAGATGTGTTCCAAGATTGTCCTAGCTATTGTCTTTAAACCTCAGGGCCCAGTTGATGTGTCCTCGTGAATCCAGCTCCAGCTGGGTCACATTCTTTATGCTCAAGGACAGGGAATAATGGTTCTAAATTTATCCTCTAAATCAGGGGACAATAACAGTACCTACCTCATAGGATTGAGTTAATGAATGTAAAATGCCTAAGACAGTGCCTGCAATTTTAGAAATGGCCCAGGGACCATGTCTAGTATATTTACTGTTAAATCCCAGTGTTCAACACAGGGCCTGGAACAGGAGTCACCAGATATTTTTAAGTAAATAAATGAGGGGAAAAAAACAAAACAAAACTAACAATCTAGTAGTTCTTACAGCAAACCAGACATGGTCCACTCGCTATAGGAGGGACACAATCATATTCATATGAAGAATATTGGAATATAAAATGGTTGTCTTATAAGACGGACATCGAGACTGGATTAGACTGGGTTGAGGAAAGGCCATCATGGAGCAGAGAATATAGGTTTCTTATATCCTCACTAGGCAGAAGCACAAAAAGAGGGTGGCTAAACAGGGATAGATCTTGGCTCCTTATGGAAAAGAACAAGCAATCCCACGAGGTGCTACGAGGCTGGTACTATAAGTGCTTGGCGTGTGCAAATGACGCAGGGCAGGGATGCCGAAGCCAGAATTCTACTACAGCGTTTTACACTGAGGCGTCGTCAGATTGGTGACAGTTTGGCGGGAACAGGAGGGCACCAAGCAAAGGAAGTGACCTAAAATGTCACTCACTTGGCGGGGGTGGGATTATGTGGCCTAGAAGGCGGAAGTATTATCTTGATTGGTTGTTTTCTTGGGACACTGCCCTATTAGCATCTCCCGGCTCTTCGCTTCCGCTTGCTAGGCAGGTTTTGCGGCTTCCGGCCCCCCAGGGAGCAGAGCGCGGGTTTTCAGAAACGTGACCAGAGAAGACCGGAACAAGCGTAGGATTCGCGAGCATTGATTGGCTGAAGGGAGAAGCGTCCCGGACGCTGGATGGCTCTGTCATTCGCGGAAGGAGTTTGGGGCGCCAGCTAAAAGTAGATACAGCGCTGCGACAGCAACAGGGCGCTGAGGTCCCTGGCGGACCCACTAGATCGGAGCCTGAGGCAGTCACGACCAATATGTGGAATAGTAAATATGCATGGGGTGGAGGAGGATGAAAATCGTGAGGAAGATTTAGCGAGACGGAGAGCCTGGGGACGGAGAGGCCTGGGGGAGGGGAAAGGGGCCGGAACCGGAGAGGGGGCCAGGGAAAGGTTAAGAGGAACATTAGGGAGACGGTGGGAGTGTTTGGGAGAGGTGAGGTCTGAAAGGACTTGTGGAATTTTCAGAGGCCTGGAAAGCGGCACATGTACTGATACTGTTGTTTTAAACAGGTGAATTTGAAAGCTATGGCAGCTCCACCTACAGTGGCGCCGGCGGCTACACACAGTCCCCGGGCGGCTTTGGGTCGCCCGCACCTGCTAAAGCTGAGAGGAAATCAGTAGGTTGAAAGGGTGTATTCTATCCTGTTCCAAAACTCCTAACTTGTCTGTGAGAGAAAATTTATGCGGCGTATGAAGGGTATTAAACGTGAACTGGTTCGATAATTATCGGTGATTGCCCCTGTTTTCTAGAATTATGTGCTGTAAGTTTTACAAATGAGATCTTCTCTAATTTTGCATCCGTTGTTCCCTTGGCTTTATTTTGAAATTTACCAGAATAGCTAATGAATCCGCCTTGTGGGAAAACTCTGTACTTGTATTTAATAGCATATTTTGCCCTCTTCATGGGTTCAAAGTCGTTTTTTAAGTAAAAGTAGCGAGGCGAGGTAACACGGGGTGGGGGGGAAGAACATGGTCTTTGAAGTCAAGTAGATCTGTGTTTTCTTGTTCTGGCACTTTACTTGCAGGGTATCTTTGGGCAAATTTCTAAACCTTGGGAGTCAGTTTTGTGCCTGTTAAATGCGGTTAATAATAAATATTTCACAAGATTGAGAGACTTAATAGCATGTTATGTATAGTATTATATATGAGCCCTGGTAGTGCCCTGGTCAAGAGCTATGGCTGCTAACCTAAAGGTGGGCAGTTTGAATCCGCTAGCCACTCCTTGGAACCCTATGGGGCAGTTCTACCCTGCCCCCTAGGATCACTATGAGTCGGAATCGACGGCAACAGGTTTGGTTTGGTTTGGTTTTATGTAAGTGCTTAGTCCAGTGCCTGCCCCATAGTTGCTTTCAATAAATGGTCCCAGTTATTAAAAACAACATTGGCTTTGGAGCCAGAAGACATAGGCTGTAGAATCAACTTTGCCATTTAAGTGGCAGTGTCACCTTAGTGAAGCAACTGGAACCCTGCGACCTTTGATTTTTCTCATCTGTATAATGGTACTAGTACTGCTCATATCACAGGGTGGTTCTGAGAATTTATAAATAAGGTACTATATAGGAAAGTGATCTGTAAGATGGTTGCATTTAGCAGTTGCTATTGATTGCATCCTGTAAATACAGGGCGAATTTGGCTTCTCTTTAGGGGTCATTTCAGATGTGATGTTGTGATTCAGTAGAAGTAGGTTGTATGTTTTGTATAATTTGTTGATGATTCTCATACATTTAGACATTGCTTTATATTATTTTTTAGGGGGTAAGAGATGCCTCGTGGTACAGTGGTTAAGAGCTATGGCTGCTAACCAAAAGGTTAGCAGTTCGAATCTACCAGCTGCTCCTTGGAAACCCTATGGAGCAGTTTTCCTGCATCCTGTAGGGTTGTTATGAGTTGGAATTGACTCAGTGGCAACAAGTTTGGTTTTTTTTTTTTGGTTTATATTTTTTATATATACTATTTCATATAATCCTATTTGTTTATTCCATCGTATAGCAGAGGTTCAGGGAGATGAAGAGACTGCCCAGGCTTACAAAGCTAGTAAATAGCTATAACCAAGACAGTGCACGCACGATGCTGTACAAATCCAAAATCTGGTGAGCAGCCTCTTCTCTAATTGTAGTTTTCTTTTTCCTAGGAAGATGAGAGGAGATTCCAGTCCTCTAGCTTTGTCTTCCTTGGGGGTGTGAAGGAGAAAACAGAGGATAGGTATAGGTTCTCGTCCTTTTATTTATCTCAGAATCCCTAGCTCAGGCTGTGTATTAAGATAGCTTTTCAGAGAAGGATGATAGTCATAAGTCGGGGACTCAAACCCAGAGGTCATTTCATTTTTAAATCTAGTGCTTTTTCCACAGTAAATTAGATAAATACGCCTGTCTAAAATGTTCCCTACTGAATATGAACCTGTTATATTTGATTAAACCGCTTGGAATTGCTGATACTTATAAAAATGGTGGTTTTATAGCATACTGTTGGAGTTGCCTGTGGTTTATAGTCAGCTCTGAAAATACTTGACAGCAGCTGGTACATACTGGTATATACATTATATGTTTCAGCAACTTGAAAGGTAGATATTTTACAGAAGAGGTGGTGATGTGTCCAGGGCTTAGGAGCTGGGATTTGAACATAGGTCTGCAGGACTGTCTGGCTCTGAATCCTGTGTTCCTTCCACTGTCGCAGTACTGGCTCTTAGTTTTTTTATACTGAAAATGTAATGAAAATCTCAGCTGTGATAGGTGAAAACAGAAAATACAGTAGATTTTTTGTGAAAGATAAATCTTGGGACCTCTGTATATTCTGTATCTGTGAATACTAATGTAACATAACTTCACCTATAAATACAATAAAGTAAAATCGAAAAACATAGTTGATTCCTTCACATCCTTTTAAAAGCTATTGCAGATATGAGCAATGAGGACAGTAGTTAATATAACTGCTAATATTGAGTGCTTATGATGTTCCAGGCAATATTCTAAGTATATTACCGTATTATTGCATTTAATTTTCATGACTTTATCATTCCCAGTTTTACAGCTGAGGAAACTAATGTACAGATGAGTTGAGAAACATGTCCAAGAGCACACTGCTCGAGTGGTGGTGGTTGTTGGCTGCCATCAAGTTGTTAACCCCCAACCTTAGCTTCCTTCCTTTGTGTTGTGGGCGGTTAGCTAAGCTTACTTCATACCAATTTGGAGTACTCACCATTCAAAATTATGCTTCAGCAAAGTGAAACATTGCCAGTGTCATGGATCTTTTAAATGGAAACTGAAACTGCTAAATCCATGAAGGCCAAGAGTCTATTATGTTCTGTGTCTTATAGTTATCAGGTTACTTCCTATTGATTTCGGATAGGAAGAATTCTAATCTTTAGTCCCCCATGGCTTCTCTGCCTTATATATATAGTCCCTCTATGAGTCTGTGGGAAGCATATATTTGCCCTCAGAATAGAATGTCCATCCCTTACCCACTGTTTTTGGACTATCAAAATTCTCATGCATCAAAGTCCAGCCCAAATGCTGGAGAGACTTTTTGAAATTCCCTAGGCAGAATTAGTGAATTTTTCTGAGGTCTTATAGCACATTTAATTCTATAGTGTATTAAGATCAGATTTGTTGTTTACATTTGTATGTCCCCTAAATTAGGAGTTACTCGAGGGCAAGTCCTACCCCATCTTTATATTATTCAGGTTACCCTGGTTAGTTGTAGGCAGAAATAAGAGTTTACAGTATTGTCAGGGTGCATTAGAGTGTGATGTCCAGTGTGGTGCATTTTCCCCAGGAGCTCCATCTGATTGTCAGAATGTCTGCTGTAAGGGAAGCTATACTTTTATTCTTTATCACAAGGCCTGGAGCAGTCTTCTCCAAAGTGGTGTCTCCCCTGGCCATTTTCAAACCTTTTCCAAATACCATCTCATCTCGTTGGTGACTTGAACAGCAGCTCTAACCTGCCTCCAGCCGGAGGCTGGGGTTTCCACTTAAAGCTCTGTCTGGCCACAGGTCATGCTGTCATATGCTGTCTCACTCTGGCCTCATCATTGTGGTGAATCCCCAGTGTGAAACGAACTTACCCATTCATGAGGCGCTTTGGTTTCAGACAAACCTACATGTGAATTCTTAGTCTGGCATTTGTTAGCTATATGAGCTTGGTTTCCATCTCTGTGAAGGCAGGGATAATGACTTTCGTTTTGAGGCTTCAATGTTAAAGTGCTTGGCATATGCCGTTGCCGTCGATTTGATTCTGACTCATGGTGACCCTGTAGGACAGAGTAGAACTTCCCCATAAGGTTTCCAAGGCTATAATCTTTATGGAAGCAGATGCCACATCTTTCTTTCGCAGAGTGGCTGGTGGGTTCGAACCACTGACCTTGCAGTTAGCAGCCAACTATCTAACCACTATGCCACCAGGGCTTCTTAACACCATAACCCACCAAACCAAACCCACCGCCGTCAAGTCAATTCTAATTCATAGCAACCCTGTAGGACAGAGTAGAACTGCCCATAGGGTTTCCAAGGCCGTAAATCCTTTTTTTTTTTTTTTTAGTTGTTGTGTTTTAAGCGAAAGTTGACAATTCAAGTTAGTCTCTCATTCAAAAATTTATACATACATTGTTTTGTGACCCTAGTTGCTCTCCCTATACTGTGACAGCACACTTCCTTTCCACCCCGGATTTCCTGTGTCCATTCAACCAGCTCTTGACCCTCTCTACCTTCTCATCTTGCCTCTGGACGGGAGCTGCCCATTTAGTCTCATGTATCTACTTGAGCTAAGAAGCACACTTAGTCCAGTCTAATGTTTGTCTGAAGAGTTGGCCTCGGGAATGGTTTTAGTTTTGGGCTAACAGCCCGAGGGCCACATCTTCCAGGATCCCTCCAGTCTCAATCAAACCATTAAGTCTGGTCTTTTTACTAGAATTTGAGTTCTGCACCCCACTTTTCTCCTTCTCTGTCAGGGATTCTCTGTTGTGTTCCCTGTCAGGGTGGTCATTTTGGTAACCAGGCACCATGTCGTTCTTCTGGTCTCAGGCTGATGAAGTCTCTAGTTTATGTGGTCCTTTCTGTCTCTTGGGCTAATACTTCCTTGTGTCCGTGGTGTTCTTCATTTTCCTTTACACCAGGTGGGTTGGGACCAGTTGATACATCTTAGATGTCTCCTCACTAGCTTTTAAGACCCCAGATGCCACTCACCAAAGAGGGATGCAGAATGTTTTCTTAAAAAACTTTATTATACCAGTTGACCTAGATATCCCCTGAAACCATGGTCCCCAGACCGCTGCCCCTGCTGCTCTGTCCCTCGAAGTGTTTGGTTGTACTCAGGAAACTTCTTAGCTTTGGTTTAGTCCAGCTGTGCTGACTTCCCCTGTACTGTGTCCTGTCCTTCCCTTCACCTAAGATAATTCTTGTCTACTTCCTACTTAGTGAATACCTCTGTCCCTCCCTCCCCACCCTCATAACCATCAAAGAATGTTGTCTTCTGTGTTTAAACCCTTTCTTAGGTTCTTATAATAGTGGTCTTATACAATATTTGTCCTTTTGTGACTAAGTTCACTCAGCATAATACCTTCCAGATTCCTCCATGTTATGTTTCACGGATTCATCGTTGTTTATCGTTGTGTAGTATTCCATTGTGTGAATACACCATAATTTGTTTATCCATTTGTCCGTTGATGGGCACCTAGGTTGTTTCCATCCAAGGCTGTAAATCTTGAGGGAAGCAGACTGCCACTGCACATCTTTCTCCTACAGAGCGGCTGGTAGGTTCAAACCCCCAACCTCTCAGCAGCCGATTGCTTTAACCACTGTGCCAACAAGACTCATTCCTTAACAGCATAATCCAGAAAACCTTGGTGCCGTCGAGTCAAGTCCAACTCACAGCAACCCTATAGGACAGAGTAGAACTGCCCCATAGGGTTCCAAGGAGCAGCTGGTGGATTCAGACTGCCAGCATTTTGGTTAGCAGTGGAAGCTCTTAACCACTGCACCATCAGGGCTCCCTCAACACCACAGCAGGTGTTAAATGAGCGGTAGTTAATATTTTCTCAATTGAATTTATGCATACTTTTTCTTTTCAGAGAGCCCGAGCCCAGCACATTGTACCCTGTACCATATCCCAGCTGCTTTCTGCCACTCTAGTTGATGAAGTGTTCAAAATTGACAATGTTGAGATTTCACAGGTATGTAAAAGAATTTGTGGAAGAGTCATTTAATCATACGAAGAATATAATAAGACTTCGTTTAAAAAATTGTAAGTGTTGCTTGGGTTTCCAGGAAAACTAACCTTTTTTCTTCTGACCTAGGTCACTATCGTGGGGATAATCAGACATGCAGAAAAGGCACCAACCAACATTGTTTACAAAATAGATGACATGACAGCTGCACCCATGGATGTTCGCCAGTGGGTTGACACAGATGTAAGCAGTTGTTTTTGAGTCAGGGCTGGGTTACTTTGGGCCTTTGGAGATGTTGAACTTGTTTTTAGTCTAACTTTTGAAGTTTTTCTTGTTTTAAAAATAATACATAAGCAAGACATCATGAATAAAATCCTAAAGTAAAGGATTAATAGATTTGTTTACATAAAAGTTGAAAACCTGAACTTCCCGAATACTAGAAACAAAAGGCAAGTGACGAGACACTAGAATGTAAACTACTTGAGAAGAAGGATTTTTATCTTGTTCACCACTGTATCCACAGCATCTAGAACGGTGCTGTTAACCTGAGTTAATATTTTTTAGATGAATAGGAAAAATGTGCGTAACATATTACCAACATTTTTAAATTTTAATTAATAAGAGCTCTTACAAACAAACAAAAAAAGTAACTGCACTTTAGGAAAATGGGCAAAGAAGATGCACAGACAATTCATAAAAGACAAAGGACAAATAGCAACAACAACGCTCATCAGCCATACTAGTTAACAAAAGCAGGTTTAGTAAACATCAAGACATGGTTTTGTTTTGTTTCTTTAATTGTACTTTATATGAAGGTTTACAGAGCAAACTAGCTTCTCATTAAACAATACACATATTATTTTGTGACATTGGTTGCCAACCACACTACATGTCAACACTCTCCCCTTCTCAACCTTAGGTTCCCCATTACCATCTTTCCTGTCCCCTCCTGCCTTCTCGTCCTTGCCCCTGGGGTGGTGTGCCCATTTAGTGTCATAGTGTTTTATGGGCCTGTCTAGTGAACCTCAGGAGCAACTTCAGTACTTAGTTAAAAGGGTTTCTGGGGGCCATGCTCTCAGGGTTTCTCCAGTCTCTGTCAGACCAGTAGGTCTGATCTTTTTTTTTTTTTTTTTAATTTTTTTGAGTTAGTATTTTGTTCTACATTTTTCTCCAGCTCTGTGTGGGACCCTCTATTGTGATCCTTGTCAGAGCAGTTGTTGGTGGTAGCCGGGCACCTTCTAGTTGTGTTGGACTCAGTCTGCTGGAGGCGGTGGTAGTTGTGGTTCAAGACACTAATTTTATCTTACTAAATTGGCACGGAAAAAAGAATGACAATGTCCAGTTCTGGTGAGAGCAGCATCTAGAACAGTGCCTGGCATTTAGTAGGCACTTAATAAATATTTGTTGAATGATTTGTTGCTATTTGCTAGGGAAAATGGGTACCATCATACCCATTGGTATAACCTGTCTCAAAAACTAGCCTGTTTCAGAATCGTCAGTCGTAAACATGTTGCCCTAACGTTCCGCTCCTAGGGATTTAAATTAAGGAAATAATCTAAAATTTGTTAAGATTCAACTATGAGAATGTTGATTGTAGCATTGTTTATAATAATAAAATCTGAAGCAATCTCAAAATGCTAGCAATGGGGATATTAAATAAACCACGTTATATTTATAAAATACCACAAATGATGTGGAAATGTGTGCATTGTCACAGAGGTGTTTACAATAAATTGTTCAGGGGAAGAAGCATGCTACAAGATAGTATATGCATGGTATGATCCCATTTTTGCAAAGCAGCATATATATGAGTATATATACATGTGGAAAAAAATAAACTGAAAGGCTATGCTTTTTCTCTTTTTTTGAATCGGGCAGAAGACATCTTGATTTTTTGATTCTCGTTTTAAAAATATGTTCATTAGAAAATTTGGATAATAAAGAAAAATTTCGTATGTTATTTTTACTTCAAAAAGCACGAAAACTGTGGAGAATTAACTTGGTAGTTGCTTCCTCTCAGAAAAATAGAGGTTAATTCATTCAACAAATATTACTGGAATACCTATTTTGAATCAGACAATGCTTGATTCCAGGAATGCAAAGAATAAAAAGAGAGTCCCTGCCATCAAGTGGGGAGATAGGTACTACAGATGCCTAATATCACATGCTCATATGAAATGCCCCATGCTTGCTTGTATATTTTTTTTTTTAAACAATTTAAAAATCACCTGCAATCTCACCTCCCAGAGATGACTACCATAATAGCACATTTTGGTAAATACGCTTTTAGACATCTCTCTCTGCATATCTGTAAGTTCAGATGTATGCATATAGTTTTATGTAGAAGGGATAATATAAAATGCAACTGCTCTATAACCTGCTTCTTTTCACTCAAAACTTGTGAAACTGATTTCTTAATAAATATAAATTTGTATCATCATTTTTAGTGACTGCCTATTCCACGGTGAGGGTACATTATCCCTTACTTAACATTAGATTCAATGAGGGAACATTTGGCTTGTTTCCGGTTATTTACTATTACAGACGTTGCCCTGATGAGTATCTTTTTGCATACATCTTTTCATGATTATGGGTGGTTCTCCTTAAGTTGAATTCCTGAAAGTAGGTTTTCTGGAGGGAAACATAAGTTTTACCGTTTTGTTTTGTTTTGTTTAACATTTACCTTTTTACATTTTTTACTATCTTTCATGAAAGTATCAATTTACACTTAAATAGTACATAAGAGTGCTGAGTTCCCCACACCCTTTCTAACAGTAGATTTTGTGAATCTTCTAAATTTTTGCCAGTATGATAGTTTAAAAAAAATCCAGTCTTGTCAGTGAGAATTTCTCATTTTTTATTTGTATTTCTTTGGATTTAGTGAGATTGATTTTTTTAGTACACTTAATGTTCATTTGGTGTGGTTTTTTTTTTTTTTTTTTTTTTTTAAAGTATGTTTAATGTTCATTGGGAGCCCTAGTGGCATGGTGGTTAAGAGCTTGGCTACTAACCAAAAGGTCGGCAGTTCAAATCCACCAGATGCTCCTTGGAAACACTCTGGGGCAGTTCTACCCTGTCCTGTAGGGTCACTATGAATCGGAATCGACTTGACAGCACCTAACAACAACAACGGTGTTTATTGTGATTTTTATAAATTCTCTCTTAAAGTTGTTTGCTTTCCCCCCCTTACCTGGCCTTCGAACTGTTTATTTTTGTTTGTAAGAGCTTGAAAAATATTAAATTTTCATCATAATCATGCAGTTTCTTTAGTTTGTCTTTTAACTTTGAAAAGCTTTCCCTAATCCCAAATTATTTTTTATAATTGTTCATATTTTCTTCTGTTATCTGTGGTTTCTTTTTTTTAAACAATTAAATGTTAGATCTATTTTGAATATATTTTGGTAAAAGGAAGAAAATAGAGATCCACCTTTACTTTTTCTAAGTGGTTTTAAGATGTTCTAAATGAGATTACAGAGTTTTATCTATGGTATAAAGTCGGCTGTGTAAAATAACGACCAAACCCGTTGCTGTCAAGTCGATTCGGGCTCAGAGTTTCCAAGGAGCGCCTGGTGGATTTGAATTGCTGACCTTTTGGTTAGCAGCCATAGCTCTTAACTACTAGGCCACCATAGATGTAGTGAAATGCAAAAAAAAAGTTGATGATCTCCAGGTGATGGGAATATTTTTTATTTTTAAATACATATACTTTATTTTCCAGGTTTTTTAAAATTTATTTTTTTGCTATTGTTGTTGAGAATATATACAGCTGAGCATACACCGGTTCAACAGTTTCTATATGTGCAATTCAGCGACATTGATTACATTCTTCAAGTTGTGCATCCATTCTCCCTCTCCTTATCTGAGTTGTCCCTCCCCGGTTGACATAAATTCACTGCCCCCAAGTTTCTTGTCTATCTTTCAAGTTGCTGTTGTCATTTTGATCCCATTAAAAGAGCAAAGTGCTCAAACCAGACATTTTTTACTTAATTAAGTTAAACTATTGAGTGGTTTAAAGAAGACTTCAGGGAATTTTTTGGTTTTAGGTTTAAAGATTATCTCAGAGCAGTAGTTTCAGGGGTCACCCAACCTCCATGGCTCCAAAATGTCTGGATTCCATGAGAATTTGCAATTCTGTTTTGCATTTTTCCCCTTTTGATCAGAATTCTTCTATAGAATATTTATTCAAAATGTTCAGTAATGGTAGCAGGACACCATCCAGTTCTTCCAGTCTCATGGCAAGGGAGGCAGTTTGTTCATGGAGGCAGTTAGCTACACTTTCCATTTCTTCCTCCTATTCCTGACTCTCCTTTCTTTGTTGCTCCAGGTGAATAGAGACCAATTGTACTGTTTTCCGGTTTTTTTATAACAGAAAAGAACTTTAAAAATCAGCTTATATTTTTCCTTATAAATAATATGTGCATATTCTACAGAAATATTAAAATCATTCATAATTATCCCTGTTAACATTTTGCTGTGTATTTTCCCCCATATGGGATCATACTGTATGTACAGGTTTGCAGTCAACTTTCTTCATGGCTGGTCTTCTTAGACAATAAATAGGATTCTATAATATCATTTTTAATGGTTGTGGAATATACTGCTATATAAATGTGCACCTATTGTTAGCTGTTTAGGTTATTTAAAATTTTTTAGTATCTTAAACTATGTTATGATGAATACTACAGTTAAATTTTAATGCGTGTTCTTTTAATTATTTCCTTGAATTCCTAAAAGTAGAATTTTGCCAATAAATATTTCCACAAGAAAGCTTATGTGCCTGAAAGTATCGAAGGAGTTATTTTTATGATGTGCATAAAATAGAACTTTGGGATTGAAATTTACCTTTAGAGATATTTTTATTCCAATTCCTGATTTTATAAAACACTAAAATCCAAAAAGGCAAAGCAAACTAGGTAGTTAGTACCTCTTGTACTTTATAACATTCTCTTTCTGTAAATAATTTAGAATTTCTTAAAGAGGCTTTTACCAGCATCACCAAAAACTTAGTGATATGATTGTGTTTTTATCTGTTAGGATGCAAGTAGTGAAAACACTGTGGTTCCTCCAGAAACATACGTGAAAGTGGCTGGCCACCTGAGATCTTTTCAGGTAAAGTCAGAATAAAGTGACAGTTAAAATATGTTTGCATCAAGCATTTTCTGGGTTTATGTGCGAGTTTAGGATACTTAAAACTTAACTAGTCTCCATGTTTAATGGGAGGATATTGAAGTTTTTTCATTATTTTTCAGAAGGAAATAACTGTTTTTCACCTTAATGTAACATTAACAGATTGGTAAAGAAGAAACAGGATCTTCGCCTATAGTACCCAGCTGTGGAGTTCATTAGATGTAGAAAGGAAAACACTGGATTTGGAGTTAGGAGACTAGACTGGTTGGTAGTGTAAATCTGAGCAAGTCATTGAACGTCTCTGAGCTGGTTTTGTTTCTTTGATCCCCCACTATTAACTGTATTTGGTTTTTGTTTGTTTTTTTAATTAACTGTATTTGGATTAATCCTGAGTTAAAATTATTACGTAACACACATTTTTTTATACATTGGCAAAATACCATTACCAGAAAAGAGCCACGTTTTGACCCGAAATTGACTTGAATGTGCTTGTCTTTTATTCACATTTTTCTCATTTATTTTAATAGAACAAAAAAAGCCTGGTAGCCTTTAAAATCATACCCCTGGAGGATATGAATGAGTTCACCGCACATATTCTGGAAGTAGTCAATGCACACATGATGCTGAGCAAGTCTAACAACCAGGTGCGTGCCTTCCCTGTAGTACTTTTTTCTAGAAAAACATAGACTGCTTTTGTGCTCTAGCTTTGACTTCCTTGGCTCTTTGAAGGTTGAGTCAGAAGGCATCCATCAGTCCCCAAAAGGTTTTCTCCATGTGCTGTGCTATTTTATTTTATTCCGGATGACGCTCTCATGTTTCTGTCAGAATTGCCATTCCTTTAACTGTCCCCACTGGTCGAGATGACTAGGGCCTAACACGGCCTTAAGATACAGACACATAAGCATAGTGTGAGCTCTTAGTTACAGGATTTCAGACCATATTCAGAAAAAAAACCCCAAGTAGGACATTTTGCTGCTTTCTTTCATACCTATTGGCATGATGAAACATTGTGCGCCATGATTTTATCTCTTAAATTATATTTCTTTATTCATACTGAAATTACTCCATAACATTATTTTCTGCTATGTGAATTCAGTCTGGCAGTTTATCTAGAACCATGCAAAGCATTGGTTGATTCTGGTGTTAGAAAGTCGTCAGGTGGTTCTGGTGGCAGGGTGAAGGACTGGTTACAGTAGAAGAGCCTGGAGACTGATGAGCCGTTAAGAATGTTCTTGCATCTTCTTCTGTGCCAGGCACTTTGTTAAGCACTGGAGGGTACAGAGATAAATTTACTTACTCATTCTTTTGTTTGAACAATATAGAGCCTACTATATATCAATCATTATTCTAGGCCCTTGAAATATAGCAGTGAACAAGATGAAGCCTCTGCCCTCACACTTACATTCTTGAAGAGAAATAGGCAATAAACAAGAAAACAAGTAAATATTTTTAGGTAGGTATAGGTGCTCTGAGATAAAGCTGAGCAGGGGAAGAGAGTGATGTGGAGGAAGGTTGGTAAACAATTTTAGATAGAAGGTCAGGAAAGGGCTCTCTGAGGAGGTGACATTTAAACAAGAACATGAATGAGATGAGGGAGCAAACAGTGCAGATACTGGAGCAAAGAGCATTCCAAGCAGAGAAAAAACCTGCACAAGCCATGAGCTGGGGCAAGCGTGGGATATCTGAGGCCAGCAAGAAGGCCAGGGCACCTGGAGTGAAGTAAGTGACAGAGTGGTCGAGCAGGTGGGTGAGGAAACAGCACTAGATCATGTAAGGCTTTGTAGGCCATGGTAAGGGCGGACTTTATTTTCATTGGTGCTAAGCCTCTGGAGGTTGTGACCAGGGAGTGACACAATCTGATTTACCTTTTGAAAGATCACTGGCTGCTTTATAGAGAATAGACTGTGGGACATCAGAAGTAATTCAGGTGAATGGTAGCAGCAGCTGGGGTAAGAAGTGGTTAGATTCCAATATGTTTTGAAGGTAGAGCTGGCAGGACTTACTGGTGGAGTAGATAGAAGAGATAAAGAAAAGGGACGGTTCTGGGGGAGGGACATTTTGGAAAAGGAGGGTGAGAATGGTTGCATACCTTGAAGAAGGTAATCAATGTCACTGAATTGTACGTGTGGAAATTGTTGAATTGGTGTATGTTCTGTGTATATTCTCAACAACAAAAATTAAATTAGAAAAGGAAGGGTTCAAGAATGACCCCCTGGGTTTGGGGCTTGAACAACTAGATAAAGGAGCAGGTTTGGAGGGTAGAACGAAGAGTTCTGTTTTGGGCTAATGAAGTATGCTATGCCAGTTAGATCCCAAGCTGAGAACTGAGTGGACAATGGATATATAAGGCTGGAACTCAGATCAGAACTAGAGTTAGAACTTTGGGAGTCATTAGTGTGTGTTGTTGTGTGCCATCGAGTCGATTCCAACTTATATTTAAAGCCTTGGATGAGATAACTGGGAATTAAAGGTAAGAGGACTGAGCTCTGGGACGCAGTAACCTTTAGAAGTCCAGGAGCTGAATAGGAGCCAGTGAAAGTCGAAGAAGTTGCCAGTTAGGCAGGAGGAAAACCAGGAAATGTGATTCTGTAGAAGATAAGAAAAAATATTTCAAGAAGGAGGGGGTGGACAATGACTGCCCTGACAGGTAACACAACAGAAAGTCCCTGATGGAGCAGGAGAAAGATGGGGTGCAGAGCTCAGATTCTAGTAAGAAGACCAGACTTAATGATCTGACTGAGACTGGAGGAACCCCGGAAAGCATGGCCCCTAGATTTTCTATCAGCCCAGAACTAAAACAGTTTCCTAGGCTAACTCTTCAGACAGGGATTGGACTGGACTGTGGGACATAAAGTGATACTCGTGAGGAGTGTGCCTCTTAGCTCAAGTAGATACAAGAGACTAAATGGGCAGCTTCTGTCCGGAGGTGAGATGTGAAGGCAGAGAGGGTCAGGAGCTGGTTAAATGGACATGGGGAATCAGGGGTGGAAAGGAGGAATGTGCTGTAACAGTATGGGGAGAGCAATTAGAGTCATGTAACAATGTATGTATAAATTTTTGTGTGGAAGACTAACTTGAAATGTAAACTTCATTACACTACAACAATAAAAATAAAAAAAAGGGGGGTGGAGATCGATTGTCGAGTGCCGCCTAGATCTTCGGAAGAGATTTCCCCAGGGTGGGAGGAAAAGTAGGTTAAAGAGAATAGGATAATGTGGGAAGTTTAGGGTATTTCTCTTATTACTATATTTCATAATACATGTATATATCAAATATTATATGATAAAAAATGGTTTTAAAGTGAGATTGGGAGATTAGAGAGTAGAAACTGAGTATAGACAATTATATTGAGGTGTGAACAAGGCAATCCTTTTCTTAAAGAACTTTCATTAAGTAATGGGAGTTTAGATCGTGTATGCAGTGTTAGTGGCAAGCACAGGTAAGTATTTCCTCTCTTGGCCTGGTCATAAGAAAGGCCTCCTGGAGAAAGTGATCCCTAAACCAAGTCTTGAAAGATACATGAGTTGGGGCCACCTGAAACAGGGAATGAGGTCGTTTCAGCAAAGGTATTAGGTGAAAAATAGCATTCAGCTCAGCATTACTGGGTCATTAAATGCAAAACTCCTGTTTCATCAGCAGACAGTCTGAGGGCTTCTAGCCTGAAAACAAAGAACCATAATTTTTGGTTTTTTATTTCCTCCAAGAAATAGGCATTATAATGAACATTTGTTGAATGAATAACCAGATTATCTGACTGGATAGCATTTCTCCTCATGTTCTTCCACAGGCCACTGGGTGTATTTTTTTTTTTTTTTTTTTACTTGAGCCAAAATCATTTTTTTTTTTTAAATTGTTGTACTTTAAGTGAAAGTTTACAATTCAAGTTAGTCTCTTGTACAAAAATTTGTACATACATTGTTATGTGACACTAATTGCTCTCCCTATACTGTGACAACACACTCCTCCTTTCCACCCCAGATTTCCTGCGTCCATTCAACCAGCTCCTGACCCTCTCTGCCTTCTCATCTCACGTCCAGACAGGAGCCGCCCATTTAGTCTCATGTATCTGCTGGAGCTAAGAAGCACACTCTTCACCAGTATCATTTTATGGCACTGGACATATTTGATCCTCTGTCGTTCTTATTTATTCAGTTCAACAGATTAAACACTGACTCAGTGTGTACTGTCTACCATGCACTGTGCAAAGATGAAGGGACTTGTAGGGCAAATAATGCAATGGGTGCTATGATAGGATGTGGGCCAAATGCTGTGAAAACTGAGAAGGAAGACCATGAGAAGTTGACTTGGGGATGTCAGGGAAGGCTTTGCAAAGGTAGGGGCAATTAAGTTGGGCTTTGAAGGATGAAAAGAGTGGTTATCAGACAGAGAAGGGGAGGAGCCTGCCAGACAGGCAACAACATGTTCAAGTCAGAGGTTTGTTTGAGGATGGCAAGGAGTTCGGTGCAACTGAGAAGTAAAAAGTGTGTTGAGAAGGAGTGGTCAAGAATAAAACACGGATTTTGAAATCTAGTTGTGATAGGTCTTGAATGCTGTGTCTAGGAGTTCTATGTTTTTTACCACAGGTAGAGGGAGCCACTGACAGCTTTAAGCAGTGTGGCATGATCAGAGGAGGTTATTACCTGGTAGCAGTGTGGCGGGTTGGGTAGAGTAGGAGAGACTAGAGGCTGAGTCACCAATCAGGAGACCAGAGGTGGTAAGGATTAAGTTGAGCTGCACTGAAGATTGTATTAATGGGCTGGGATGACAGATTGTAGAAGGTGAGAAAGTGGAAACTCCCAGGTGACTGAGGTCTGCAGAATTGGGTTTAGGTTTACTAACTGAAATAGAATATTGGAGGGCAGTCAGGTTTGGTAAGGAAAGTGATGAATTTTATTTTGAAGTGTCTGTGAGATACCCAGGTGAAGATGTCTAGTAGATAGATGGGAATAAAGATCTGTGGTCTAGGAGAAGGTCTGGGATGAAATCTTAGGAGAACTGTGAGCTGTTGGGAGGACAGAAGAGGCTGATGAGAGAGACTGAGTATAGTTTGAGAGGTAAATGGAGAACTAGAAGAGTATATTCAATCAGTCAGTAGATAAATTCTGATCAAAAGGAGGAAAAGCGTGGAACAGAACTTCAAAGTCATATGGAAGCCAAACTTATTAGATCTGTTGAGATTGGGGAACCACAAATCTAATGCCCAGAAATAATCTTTAAACCTTGAACCAAAACTATCCCATGAATCCACTGTTAAACTAAACAACAGTTTAGCCCAATTAATAAAGAATGTTTGCCTCGAACGTAACAATTATAAAGAATTATCAGTATGAGTGTGGTTAAGAGCTTGGCTGCTAACCAAAAGGTTGGCAGTTCGAATCCACCAGCCACTTGGAAACTCTGTGGGGGCAGTTCTGCTCTGTCCTATAGGGTTGCTATGGGTCGGAATCAACTTGACAGCAGTGGGTTTGGGTTTTTGTTTTTTTTTCAAATGAGTGTAAACTGACAACAGTTAATCTCTAAAGCACAGTTGAGAACTTTAAGAGGCAGAGAGCCAAAATTAGTGGTGATGAAACAATATGGTTAGAGAGAGAAGGAATGATGATACAGTTTGAGGTATGTAACCGATGTTATTGAATTGTTCATGTAGAAATTATGAATGGATGTATGTTTGGTTGTGTATATTACCACCAAAAATAAATATTTTAAAAAAGGAAGAAGAGTGGTCAGCAGTGTCAGCTTCTGAGAGGTCAGTTAGTATAAGGAATGAAAGAGACTATTGGATATGTAGGTTGAAAATCATTGGTGACCTTGGTGAAAACAGTTTTGGAGGTGTATTTAGGGAGATTCCAAATAGCAGTGGGCGAAGGAGTGATTAAAGGGAAAAGAAATGAAAATAGTGATTCTAGACTATTATTTCTTTTAGACTACACAGAGGCTATTTAGGAGACTGTCTTCTTTTTTCTCTTTCCTACACTGTTCTGTGCCTAGCTGCACTCAGTAAATGTGTGAGCGATTGAGCCCCAAGGATACCATTATAGCAGATGTCCAGGTAATTTTCTTCTTGGTGCTATTTTTCCTCTGCCTTCTCTCCCACATCACAAAGGAAACAAGAAGCCTGGAGGCACTTTCCTCTCTCCTTGGTATTATGTGCTTCGAAAGGGCTATTTTACCTTCCTATGAAATGTACATTAGATGACAGATGGCCCTTCTAATGTAAGAAATTGTTACTGGGAAAACTCTGCTTAAATTGTTTTTTGTAAACTGTTTATTAACAAGCTGTTTGAAATAGCAAAGACTGTGTTTAACTTGTTGAATTTTCTAATGATGTGAACTTATTTTTCCATTCAGCCCTCAGCAGGGAGAGCACTTATCAGCAATCCAGGAATGGGTGAAGCAGGGAGCTTTGGTGCGAATAGCTTCATTCCAGTAAATGGCCTCACTGTTGCCCAAAACCAGGTAAACTCCACCTGAATGGCTTTAGAAATGTAAAACACAGTCCTAAATTTTATTATTTCCTTAATGATTCTAAGGATGTCTAAGTACCCAGCTCAGTTTCTTTCCTGCAACCTTTTTTGTAAAGGGAAGCTGGCTCATGCCTTGTTGCTAAAATTTTTGTCCAATTTGACTCTTCAGGTGCTGAATTTGATTAAAGCTTGCCCAAGACCTGAAGGATTGAATTTTAATGATCTCCAGGCTCAGCTCCATTACATGAATACAGCCTCAATCAAGTGAGTATTTTATTTTTATAAGCTAAGACTTCAGAATTGTACCCTTTTCACCTCACCAGTTTCCTGCTGATGAAAAGTGAGTTAAAAAAAAAAAAAAAACAAAACAACTACCTGTTAACTGCAACTTTATTAATAGTCAGAGACGAATTCAGTCCGCCACGGAAAAACAAAAAAAAAGAATGCCAAAAGTGGTGCTTCCCATCCTAGCACTCATAAACATTTGAATACCCATTATGTACTGGGGGTATAATTTTGAGACTTAGTTTGGAGAAGTGAGGTCTTTAGCTCATGGACTTCAGATGATACAGTCCCACTGGCATTATTGTCCCCACTGTGGAGATGGGTGCATTGGGCCATCTGGACCTAAAGCCTTTAGACTCTCAGACCTCCCAACACCCTTGTCCTGATTCTGTGTTAGACAAGCAGCCTCCTGATTTCCAGTGTAATGAGCTAATCAGACAGACCGAGTATTTTGGTCCTTGTGATAGTTATTTGTTACGGGAAATCAGTTGCTATTCTAGGCCTAGATGGAAAAGATATGCTCAGTTCTAATTCTGTTTCCTGTGCTGTAAAGTGAAGATAATAATTCCTATCTCAGATGCTATGATGATGGGACACAGAGTCACTGGCACATAGTAGATACTCCGTTTACAAATTGTTACTGACACTGAGGGCCTTGAAGCATTTGAAGGTGTCATACTGTTCCTGGAAAGACCTTTCCTTTACTTCATGCAGTATCTCTAGGGAGCTAGAGCACTGGTGTAGGGGGGGTGAGGTGGAAGAAAACTTTTAAAGACACTATTTATTATAGCATATTTATGTGCAGGCTGGATCACAGTTTTAGATCCTTGTTTCACTTTGCTTAGACTGGTATTTAAATGAGGCTCTATAAGAGTCCATGACGGAGCAGGAGAAAAGTGGGATGCAGAACTCAAATTCTAGTAAAAAGATCAGTCTTAATGGTTTGATTGAGACTGGAGGGACTCTGGAAGATGCGGCCCTCAGGCTAAAAAACTAAAACCATTCCCGAGGCCAGCTCTTCGGACAAACATTAGACTGGACTATGGGACATAAAATGATACTCGTGAAGAGTGTGGTTCTTAGCTCAAGTAGGTACATGAGACTAAATGGGCAGCTCCTGTCCAGAGGTGAGATGAGAAGCAGAAAGGGACAGAAGCTGGTTGAATGGACATGGGAAATCCGGGGTGGGAAGGAGGAGTGTGCTGTCACAGTATAGGAGCAGCAACTAGGGTCAGATAACAATGTGTGTATAAATTTTTATATGAGAAACTAACTTGAACTGTCAACTATCACTTAAAGCACAATCAATCGATCAATCTCTATATTCTTGCCTGTACACAATTTGGGGTGAGCTATCCAAGGCAGTCTTAATAGCCATGTCTCCATGGATAACCTCAGTTTTGCATTTTTACTGGCATTTCTTCCTGTGAGAGTCTTCGATGAACAAAATGGCTGTGAATTCTTAGTCAAGTTAGAAGGTGGGAGGTGAGTGAAGTGTACATATTTGACCGTATCCAAAAGGCAGCTTCTTTCTCCTTCATTGGTCTGAAAATGCACCTATGTTGTTTCTTCTTTCTTTTCTAGGCAAGCTGTGGATTTTCTTAGCAACGAAGGACACATCTATTCCACTGTGGATGATGATCATTTTAAGTCTACAGATGCAGAATAACTGGATCTAATTGGGGACCTAAGATATTTTCTAGCTGGATCTGTTTTCACAATCTCCAGCTGTGCATTTATTTGGTCAGTTGACTTCTAGGAAGTAGGTTTCATCTATAAAAAGTCTCAACTAACATCCTTTTGAAACTTACTGTTCTTTTTTTTTTTTTTTTTTCTTTTAAGCTCAAGGGATGTTGGGCAGTTTACAGGGATGTAACCAGCTGTGCATTTATTTGGTCAGTTGACTTCTAGGAAGTAGGTTTCATCTATAAAAAGTCTCAACTAACATCCTTTTGAAACTTACTGTTCTTT